AACAGTCACTCCCTTACATGTTTCAGATCTCATAAATATGCGGCTTTAGCGTAAGCGTTTTGACTAGCGTCACAGAAGACGTGCAAACTACAGTGGAATTTTTCCCTCGGTGGAGTCAAACAGCCATCTGGGTATTTTCAAGTTCAAAAGTATAGGAATTTCTTTCCCCCACTTCAAAAAAATGCTTCTGATATCCTCTTGAACCTCAACATCCCAGCCTATTTTCAAATTCCATATCTTTTGCAATAATAAATAATTTGGGGCAAAGAGATATTGGACATGAAAAGACAATAATCGATGACCTGTTAGACACAAAATTAACCGCTTTGTAACTACTTCAGTGTCGATATATATCGAAACCACTCAGAATTGAGCTGCAAAGTATCAGTGTTTATTCCAACAATGTCCCAAAACAGGAGAAACGGTGTTATCAACTAAAGATTCGTCAATAGAAATATGTTCCCTCCCTCTCAGATCAATCTTCGCTTTCATATCAGATATAAGCCCAAATTTTGATAAGCGAAATCTCATCAACAAAGTAGGTATTAACTCAGTCAGATTAATATCTTTCTCTAGGCACTGATTTAGAGACGGTTGATTTTTCTCTCGAGCTGTGGCATCAAAAACTGGGCGAATCTTAGTGGGTGTACTGCTGTCTTTTACCACGTGGCGATGGGGTAAGTAATGACCTTCTTTGAGTAAGTCTGACTCAGGATTCCTTCAGTTTGCCATTCTTTCAAAAATGGTTATATTGATTACGATAGCCATTCAAGTTTTTTCAGTAAAGAATCGAGTCTTTTTCTTGCTAATCTATAATTACTTGGTAACGGAATGTGATCATCAGTCCATGACAAATACACCTCATATCTAACATCATCATTTCTAGTAACTCTGTTCAAACGTGACCAACTTCTCAGTTTCTGAGTTATCTTCTCTGATGAATCTGAAATGCCAAGAACATCCAATGACCACAGATCAGAAATTGATTCCTTTTTCGACAACATAGACATCACTACTCACGACTGTGGATTTCTTTCATGGTCTTCTTGCAATTTACCCATCAAAGTCCAACCTAATCATGTCTCTAGAGCTACGAATACAATTTATGTTGCTGCAAATTAACGACTAGTCAATTGCTTCAAAATTGCAATAATATTTGTTTTTCAGGTCACTCAATCTTACGTGGTAACGATTACGTTCGACAATACCTACTCATTCTTGATCCACCAAAAAGGGCGTGTACGATTTCTTCTTGTCGTAAAGACCCATCTCTTCAACTACGGATTTCGTAACATATGACCTCTGGGAACCGGTATCAAAAATAACTCGCAATCTTCTCGACTTATTAAAACCTTTCAAGTTTACAACTAATGTCTGCAGAAGACTTCAGAATACGAACCATTTGATAAATTATTATCTATATTAGTTTCTGTTTCAATAGATTTCATCTCTGAATTTTCAGATTTTGGGCACATAATTGCATAATGCCTACCACCACAAAGCGCACATGTTATGGATACACGACATTTTCTAGAAATGTGCCCGTAGTTCAGACATGCTTTTTCAGATAATTTTTGTTTGCGATCACGTAGAGTCACGTATTGCTTTCATTACATGATTCACTTGAATGTATTCCACTACAGAAACTACATTTCTTGTCTATTTTATTATTTAACAATCCAGAAGCAGTTGGTGGACTCTGAAATTGTGGAGACACCGCCAAATTCCTCATTTTCCTCTTCTTTTCTAAGAAATATCATCTATTTATCTAGACGATCCTTAAGAAAGGATTCATTCATTGCAGTGAAGACTACTTCTCTGCCATAATCGTATAAGATCTTCGGTAAGACAAGATTCCATTAAAGGATATAGCATAGCTGCACAAGTATCTGAAGTTACATTAAGTGTTTCTAACGCACGTAACTAAGATTCCATTTTATCGTAAAGGACACTCAAATTATTATGGTTCAAAATATTCTTTAATATCAGCTTCGACAATTCTCGCACATAAAATTCCACTAGAAGATCTTTCCTTCCGAATCGTGTCTTCAAGATTTCAATTACTTTTGGGTAATTTTCTTTACTGGGAGAGTAGCTATCTATAAGTTGACGAGCTCTAGAATCAAATGGAGTTGCTTGAATCAAATACTGGAATGTCTTCCGGTGCAATATTTTCATCATCATTGACCCTTCCAAAATGACTCCAAAAGGAAAGCCAATCTTTAATTTTGCCGTCGAACTTTCGGAATTCAATTTTTGGTGTTTGAAATCTTTTCTTTGTACTACTAGAACATTGAGAAAACGAATCAGCAAGCAAATCCTGATTTGAAAGACTGTCATATATTTGACTTTATAAAACTTAGAATATTCATCAGCAGTAGATATTTCCAATTTCAGGGCATATTCATTGTCTGATATAAAATCTACAACTTGTTTATGTAAATCTGACAAAATTTCGATTTTCTGTTCCAGGAGATTAACCTTCTAAGTATGCTAATCTTCTCGGTTTCATTTTTGCCAAACAAATCGAAACCATCGTTGAAAACTTGATCAAATAAACTTCGTTGGATATCTGGTACCTTTTTCATCTTCTCTATAGTTGAAGTCCTGTCACGGTCGCCAAATGTTCAATATATTCTAAATTCAACTACCCGGCGATGGAATACTTCAAATTTAGAACGAATATGGATGATAAAACTAATGATCAAACAAATCACATCACATCTGTTTAAAATCTGTTTTCCGTTAACCAGCTGTCGCACCCCTACGAACGACAACCCTCAGAAGTCGAAATATGAACTATATAATCAAACACTTGAATATTTTGAGAAGCTGCCACCTTTCAACTAAAATAATGGTAGATTGGTACCTTCATATTATTGTGAAACCGTAGTAGGTACCTGACTTAATGAAAAATTTTACATTTCTAATAAAATCTTTCAAACTTATTAAAAAAAAACATAATTATTATATAACATACATAAATGCATATCATAAATATAGAGCTTTGAGTAGTTATGGAAAGCAGAATTATTTTACAATTATAACGATTATAATCTGAACTTCAATAGGTCACCTTGAGGAAAGTGTTTTTGAATTATTGGATCATCTATCTTGAGAATGTTTTATTGTTTCTGTTGAATTCCTATTGAAAGGTAATAAAGATAGTGTTTTTATTTAATTGGAGTTTAAGATCATCCTGAAGCCACTATGAGACTATTATTGTCAGGTGTGTAGGAGCTCTGAAATCTTCAGAGGAGGCTCTTATATTCTTCGAAATGTAAAAGATATTTACAATGTTTATATACTACTATGTCAAAATAGTTTAAGGATTTGGCCAATAAAACGCAAAATATGTATTTTTCGTATCGCCTTCAAAGTAAGCCCTTTCCGAAATAATGCTTTATAAAGCTCAGAATAGACCTTCTTTAGAGTATTGTTCTCGTGTAGGGAACTCCGCCCCTGAACATATACCCTGAAGCTGCTGGATTCCATCCGCCTGATGAGAGACGCGAACATCACTTGCAACCTTGATAGTCTGGAACATCGAAGAAATGTTGGAGATTTGTCTCCCTTCTATAGATACTTTCTGGAAGTGTTCAAGTGACTTGGCATATTTGATTTCACCAAGAGCGGTGTCATCTATCGACTGAAAACTGGTAGTAATTTGAGTTTTGGGGAAAAATCGAGCGGAGGTATATCAGGTGAATACGGTGGCTGTTCGATAAGGTTTAGCCAAGTTTCTGGACAAAAATTCATTCACAATGATAGCCTTGTGAGATGGTGAATTATAGAGGTGCTCTGTCTAACGCCGCATAATGCTCAGGTAATATTCTTCATTAACTGTTTCACCTTCTGGAAAGAATTTCGAATTCCACGTATTTATAGAGAGCAGTTATGCCAAACTCGCTACAAAAATACTTCACTCTACGCGGGCTATTTGAATGATCTATTCCCGATGCTTTCCTGACAGAATGTATATAAATGAATTCCAATGACCACCCACCCACCTAGCTTATCGCGTCATTTTGATAAAAGTATAATGCATCCGCTGAGGAAAGTGACTAAAAATCACTCTGAGAGCCTGCAAAAAATTTAGATTCTAAAATCGATGCACATTATATTATTTCGAAAATGTGGCCTTGAGAATTTCCAAAATAAAAAAGTGGTCTGATGAAATAATGAATCATTGTAGTATCCAGGTATTCCTAACACGCTGATCTAGGGAAAATGAAACTGTCAGTCGAACATTTCTCAAGAAATTCTATATTGAAAGATCACTCCTTTGATATCTTAACTATCAAATTTGATTTTAAGATTCGCTCATTAGGATGATAATGCTTGAGGTTGATGTTGGGCTATTTATGCGTTGCCAAAATTTCAAAGATGAGTTTTATAAAAATATCAAAAGTTGCTAAGTTTTTTACAACTCTCTCGTTGCTTTTCTAACAACGAGATTATCTAGGCCTTGTTGCTAGCTGATTAGACAATCAAATACAGTGAAACTGTGTATTCTGATACTAAAAATACCTTTTTACAAATATAGCCACACCATATTTATGAATGTATATCTCAAATATTGCTTTAGAAGTTTTTAACAAATTTATCAAAATTGAATTTTTTGGGAAAGAAAGTTTTTGGTTTTCTACTACTCCATCTTGATACAAAAAAAAAGGAAGTGGGAATCTTCCAAGGAAAGGAAGGAAGTAATCAATTTGAAAATAAGTAACTGATCATTTGAATGATCTAAATTTGCATGATCTACTTATTTTCAAATTGATTAATTTCTTCCTTTCTTTGGAAAATTCCCACTTCTTTTTTCTGTATCAAGATGGAGTAGTAGAAAACCAAAAACTTTCTTTCCCAAAAATTAATCACTCCTAAAAATATAACCCCTTCAATTTGAATTTTTTGATAATCTTGAAATAGAAGGCTACCCAAAATCTCTTCTTTTCAATGGAAGTCAAAGTAATGGTGATAGTGAAAATAAAAGTGACTTGTATTGCAAAAATAAATCATATATATTTCGTCAAAGTTACAGTTTCCCTAAATTCTATCCATCATTTAATTTTTAAGGAACAATTCATCGAAAGTGTATTTTTCAAATAGATTGTTGGTGATTCCAGAAATGAATTCTTGCACGATTTTGGATATAACAGGCTTCAGTTCGGATATGAGCGTCTCTATGTTCTCGTTGATGACTTTATTCGTATTGGCATTGAGTTCTTCGTTGTCTCCGAAGATGCGATCAAAAAAGAGATGTGGCTTTCCGATTTCCATATCAATCGAGGTTTTGTCCAGTTTGATGTGGTCCTTTCCGCCTTTGTCGTAGTGGACACCTTCACCTTTGAAGTGGGCTCTGACGTTAGCTGAAAAACAAATAATCTTTTGAGCAACTCCCGAATCCAAACAAAGCGGTTATATATGAGCCGATATTTCCAAATCACACGTTTATGGTTTCAAAAACATTGTGATCCTTGGTTCGCCAGTCGTGTCTTGTTAGAATTTAGGATTAACATGTCTGGCTAGTTTGGTACAGTCATCCTAGTCAAAATTAGGTAAGTATCTCGGAAGTTGAGATATCCTGAAAATTGTCTTAAAACCTACATATCGTTGAGTATACGCGACAAGGATACTTTTCAGAAGTTCTGAAAAAAAAGGCGAATATCTTTGTTATGCTCGATATCAAAATTATTTGAAAAAGTAGCACTTAGGGATCAAATAGGCTGCTATGTATGTCTCAGCATGGTTTCAGGAAAAATAAATCTATAGAAACAGCTTCCTATCATCTTCTGAATTATATTCGCACAGAAATTGATAAAAAAAATTATGTGATCTCACCATTTTTCGACATATCAAAAGCGTTTGATACAGTATGCGCGGAATTTCTCATAAAAAAACTGTCAGTGCTCGGATTTCCACGAAATATAATAAATTGGATACAATCCTATATGACAAACAGAGAAATGGTAATCTGCAATGGAGCGACATCTGAGTCAAGACGGTAAAACTCGAGGTGCCACAGGGCTCTGTTCTAGGACCTCTACTGTTTCTTCTCTACGTTAATGATCTTCCTCAACATATAAAGGGATGATACAACGATAACTATAGCAGGCAATAATGCTGAGCAACTCATCAACAAATCTGAACATATTATTGATCAGTTCAGTACCTGGTGCCAAAGAAATAAGCTCATTCTAAATACTTCTAAATCGATCAGTATTAACTCTCACTTCAGAAGAAATATTCCAATTGGTCGACACTCTAGCCATGATATTAAAACTTCTGAAGAAATAAAATTTTTAGGGACCTACCTAGACGCCAATCTAAATTGGGAAAAGCAGGTGGACTATATATGTGCTAAGTTAAATAGAGCATATTATGCCATAAAACAGCTGAAATCCTGTTTGGATGACATGGCCTACCCTCATATAAGTGTGAATATTATGGCTTGGGGCAGAGCAAGGGATTTTTCCAGAGTCTTGATAGCACAGAAACGCATCATAAGGTTAATCTTCAATATGGATTTCCGGGATAGCTGCCGGCTAGACAAAAAAATATTGACAGCCCCATCCATCTTCATTCTTAAAAGTATTTCATTTGTTAGGCAAAACAATAAATTATATGATAAGACTGCTTCAGATCACAGTCATTATACAATAAATGGTGATCTTCTAAAAATCCCACAGCATCTCATGACAAGCTATAAAAAATCCCCTCTGTATAATGTCATTACGTGCTTCAATAAGCTGCCAAATGTAGTTAAATCGTTTTCAAGATAGAGGGCAGAGAGCGTGCGGTTAGAACATTATTTAAGACAACCGGTAGTCCCGGACAAAATCACGCACTATGTTTGTTAAACTATTCACATATTCCTTTCCATTATCAAGCAAGTTCGCCTTCGTGAACTTTGATAATGATAAATGGGTAGAATTTGAGTTATCATTTCAATCAACTTATCAAATGCTGATTTCGTTTATGTTGGTCCTCTCTGTTTGGAATTACTTATCAATTTTTCTTTCTTCGTCGATTTCTTTTTGATACTTGTCGTACACAGTTCGAGTTATTTTCGAGTTATTAATGCAAAATGTTTTGTTTAATTTGTATCAATGAAACATAAAAACTCAATTATCCGAGTCAAGGTGCACGTTCAGAAACACTTTTTTATGGCCAGACAAGTCGATCAATAACAAGGTAATGATCGAATTCAGGTTTTTATATACTTCTGTTGTGAGTGTATTGTAAATGATAGTTTATTTATGCGTCGAGGAAAACATTTCCGTTAGTATCCAATTTCGATAGAGTTACCTTCATTTTAGGATCATTTAAAAAAATACATTAGAGAATCTTGTAACTTACTATAATTTCCATCGGCCGATCCGCTACCATCCAATTCCAATACTAAAAGTTTTCCTTTGATGTTATAATTCGACAGAATTCTCAGCCTAGGAAATAAAATCGACAGATCCAGTTTGAAATTTTCCACATTGAAATCTAGTTTTTCGATGACAAATTCATTGGCGAAGAAAATCTGTATCTCATTGAAATCTGCAGAGAATCTATCGCCGATCTCGAGACTAGCTTTTGGTATGATGAGGGGATTCAGAGATGGAATTTGAAGTTCAGGAATGCCTTTGAGAAACATGGGTCGCAACTTTTCAATATTTCTGACTAGACAGTCCTTTATTTTAGCGTCCGGTCTGTGGCACACCTCTACGAAAGAAGCTAAAAAAAAATGAAATGGTTAAAAACTGAAATTTCAAAAATATTACTTCACAAAAAATAATTGATTTCTATACGGTTCTTTCTAGTTTAGTGTCACACACAAGCAGGCTAAATATAACAGCTGAACTAATAGTTTTCTAACCAACAGGACTTAAAAACTGTCATTTTCCATGCATTGATGGATAATTGAACAAAATGTTTGTAATGATCAAAATTCAAACAAGCAATTTTGTAGTGATTATATTAAATGTCAAAATCGTATCATCGACACTCGACAACATCAAAAATAAGGACTTGAAATCGAACCCGAATACAGTTTCAGAGTAAATATTTATGTTGTGAATGTAATTTTTTCAATAAACTGTTTCATTCACATCATTATAAATTTTTAGTTCACGAATTGAAAATGAAAAATGATTTCTATGTATGTAATTCATTATCCGTAAAAAAGCAGTTGTTTCATATTTGCTTGCTTTTAGTTTGTATCTAAAAGAAATATTTGTGAATTATTCACAAATTGTCAAAAATTTTTTTTCTATTAATATTTCTAGATTTCTTCCTACTATATTTTCATAAATTTCCCATTTTTATATATTGAGGTTTTTTAAATCAGATTTTCTTCATATTATGAATAACTTATGAAATGAACACATATATGGCAAGACCTTTTTCAATGTCAGAATAATTGTAAGAATTAAAAAACAGTGAAATAATGATCACGATAGAAATAAAAAATATAAATTGGGAAAATGAAGGTTACTTAAATTTAAACCTATCAAGTTTCGTACTGTATTCGTACTTTATTTATTCATCTTTTTTAAACTATTTCTACCTCAAAAAACCGTAGCGTAATATGTTGAAATAGTTTTTTGTCAAGTAACCATTGGGGATGTTATAAAAAGTAGGTCACTCAAAGTTTACATTTATTTTGTAAATACTTACGTAAATTCTTGCTATATGCTACGCCTATCAGCGACGCTACCAAATAAAGAACTTTCATTTTCGATGTTCAAAGATGATAAACAAGATCAAGGTGAGACAACAAACGAGACGAGAGTAACTTGTACTTGTATCACCAACTATGATCAAGTGTCTCATTCTTCAAGTTATATTTGAAGTACCTGCAGAGAAAAAAGTGGGAACAACCTTCGGTGACTAATGACGTCTTCTCTGCGATATATTCAAAGTCTGTTTCACTATGGAGTCGTAAAAAATACTTAATAGTCTTCATTTTTTTGTTAAATAAATATTTTGAAATCGTGGTACTAATGGATTCGGCAAAATATGCAGATGTGGATTTGTTTAAAAAAGTGAGTCGAATCGGTCCAACAATTGAAATATATTTTTGAAAGAAACAAAACATATTCAAAAATCAATTTTTGGTGTTATTTTATTCAATAACAACAAAATGCATTTGATTTTACTTGCGTGATGCCGATGTCGCAAGGATTCTCAATAATTTTTTGTATTATTTGCCACAGTTTGAAAATACTTTATCGTATATTCATTAGAATCAAACCGTAATATACAACATATTTGATGGAATTGGCCGATACTTGATGAAAATCCATTAAAGGACCTGAGAGCTTATATGCACCAGTTTAAACAATTCAATCTTTCTCTTGAAGATTATCACTTGGTGATCGAAACACGTGTCGATGTGTAAAAATAACGGTTTGGTGTTTGAAAAAAACTCCAGTACTAAACCAAAGGTACCAAAAGGTGTATCCCAAGTACAGTTTCAACATTTGAAAAAATATTTAGTATTGGGGAGTTACTTAATTCTATTCGGTGATTCAGTAAATTACTCGAATTATTAAATCTATTCATTTCTAGGTATTCTAGAAGACTGAATTTCAAACGTTTCTCTTCTAAATGTAAGACGTCGTATTCATGATTGAACTCATATCCTCCTGCTAAAAGTTGGTTTGCAAATGTGCAATTGGTCTTTCTATTTATGAAACTACTTCTATACTCTTTAATTCTTTGGGAGAAACTTCTCCCTGTTTGACCAATATACAGGGCTTTTCATGATGAGCGTTAATTAGCCGTTTCTGACAAACTATTCAACGGATCAACCTGAAAATTTCACTATATGCATAAATCAATATGACCTACACGCCTTAAATATTTCAGGCGAAGCGGCGTTGTCGTTTCTACTATAAAGTAGCGGCTTCTTTGATTTTTCGAATGGAACACCCCGTATATAATATCATATTATGATTCATTATCACTTTGTCAACAAATTCATATACTATTTCCCTATACCTATCTATTACCATCGGCTCTCTCTGGAAATTACTCTCAGACAGTAGAATATTCAATAGTCTGTGAAGCATACTATTGAATGCAGCAACTTTATGCTGGTGAGGGTGTGTGGAGGAATTAGGTATTGCAATGTCCGTAAAAGATGGTTTATCGAAAATTGCAAATTGTAGTGGTGAATTTCATTACCTGGTGAATGGAATTGACATATTCGACAAATATACAAAGCTTATTTGGTCGCCACTGTACCAACATGCAATTCTCAATATAGAGTATGTTCAAGAAAAATGAAAAAAGTTTTTGAATGTCACAGTTATTTCCCGAAAAAGGTTGTGACCACCACTCTTTCATCTTCAAGTTGATTTATGACTTTATAACTTTACTGTTCTAACCAATCTTTATAAGTTGTTGAATGGACAGCTGCTTGACTGTGTCCGTCTACAGGAACAAATCAATTTCTTAGTTTGTTGTTTTTATTTTATTTTTATCGTTGTTTTATTAACAAAAATATTAAATTTCTTACTATCTAGTCTTACGTTACCATAAAATATTTTATTTCTACCAATGGATGGTAAAACAGCATTTATCTAAGAAATGGTATTCACGGAAAAACCAGAAGTTGATGCTAATCAAGATATGATATGTAAATGAAATAAATCAATTTATGGACTGAAGCAGACGTCAAGGCATTGGTATTTACGTTTTCATGAAGTTTTACTGAGAAATGCTATCAAGAGATGCGAGTCGGATTATTGCTTCATATAAAAATTGCCGTTGAACAAGTTTTGTATTTATTAATGTTTGTAGATGATTTTCTCATAAAATAATTTAACAAGTTGAAAAACGTGTTGAGTGAAGTTTTTATACCACATACCACGATAGATAGTTATAAGAGGGATATAATAAATGTCTTTCTCAAGGTATCTACAATGAATTATGGTATAGACTCCATTATGTAGAATTACAAACTTTGGACTCGGATGTTCGGAAAAAAGCTGGTGGCATTATTCATAAAACATTTCTGACACAAAAGAAACAATTTGAACGACTAATTTTCCTGGTCTTTCCTGCAATGAAGAGAGGCAATACTTCGAAACCTTTTTTTAGGTTATCCACTCGAATAATTTCATTATGATGGTGCTGCTGGATGAATGAGAAACATCCACTTGACTAACCTCTGTGAAGTATGCTGCATAAATGTCTATCGGATATAATGCAATATCCAGTATGGTATTAGCCGGGAAAGTTCTATATATTTATCTATCTATCTATTTTTTTGTCAGAAAAGAGGAAATCTTCAAAAAGACTACGGTCGTTCCGTAGTGGTGGATTTTTACCACCTAAAACCTCTCCTCACTGAGCTCCAAGTACTGGGACCGCTTTCGCATTACTCCGGTACTTGGGCTGCTGTCTCACTATTAATGCTTTATATAACCATCCTCCACTTCTTCTCATTTGTCATTATCTAGGTGTGCTGTTACGTGTTCAGAAGTCGGTTGACCCTACTCGAACCGATCCCTACTATACTGGTAAAATGGTGTTTGTTACGTGTTTCGAAGTAGAGTGTCCTTAAACGCTCTATTGCCTACTATCTAAACCGTTGTTGTTATTTTTTACCTGAGTTCTTCTTCTTCTTAATTAACCTCTTCTTTCCGTAAAGGTATGAAATGTTAAATCTAAAGTTCTCACGGATAGGACTATGTTGAACTGGTTTCCGGGTATTTGATAGTAACACTTACACGGATCAAATACCCGGAAACCACGGACACGAAGGGGGCAATGTAACGAATCTGAAGCCGGCCCTGACCGATATCTCAGCGAGCAAACGCATGGTATAGATGAGTGCCGAAATCCCTAGAGAGATCTGGAGCGATCGTTGCCGATATAAAAAGGCCGCTTCTAGTCCAGAGCGGCAGTCTGTATTCATTAAGCGAATCGTGCGTTTAAATAAAGAATTCGAACAGTGAAGCAGAAAAAGACTTGAAAATATTTTTGATGTTTGTTCTGGATTGAAGTCAATTATTTGTTTTGCACTCTACTGGCCTTTATTTGATCTACTTAATCGCTTGATATTCGTTTCACCTTAATTTTTTTGCAAAATTATGTCATGAAAAATTGAACGAAAACGTCCGATTTTTAAAATGTACTGTCGCTGTAACGAAAATTGGCTACTGGTTTCAGGTTCCTTAAGAATATCTGTTTTTTTTATTTATTGATAAACATTTAAAGCTGCTCCACATTGACATAACCGCTTGTTACTTTGAGTTTGGTGTTAATATATGAAACTGTTATTTTGAACAATCAAGTTTGTAGCAATAATAATCGATTGCAAGGATAATTCCGTTCCTGGGGGCCCCCGAATTTTCAGAAAATATCAACATCGGTGAGTCTGAAGGAATTTATTTCATTGCGATCAAGTTCGCGATTTCAATATGCAGTCCAATGTTTCCTCAACAAACTCCATTGAAGTGGATGTAGTAAATACGCAACAAAACCATAAAGAACTTTGGAATTTGAAGTTTTCACTAACTCATGTACTTTTCATAAATTTTTCCACTTCGCTTCATATATTTCATAGTAAATAAATATCATATCGTAATTTTAAATTGTTAGAATGTTCTGTCTTATGATGGTCAGCGCGTGATGGAAAATTCAAATTGCTAGATATCGGAGGTGAAAAATCGAATATGATGGTATTTGACTCCGGTTTCATGGTATTATTATTGGTGGGCGTGGCTTGGGTTCTCTTAATTGGAATACATTACCTTTTTTTGTGTACCATTAAAGACAGTTAGCCAGATTTTATTAATTTCTATTGCCTTTTCTTTTCTTATGTAGTTATCCCTGTTTTTTTGAGTTTTTATTGCCTCTCTATATACTCTTGGATACTAATTTTGAGTTTTATCGAGTATTACTGTATTTTCGAATGAGATACTGTGAGTGTCTTCTTTGTTGAGAGCATGCCTGTCTAAAGCTGATTTATCAATTTGTCCGAGGCGACAATTTCCTTTGAAGTCCTTAGCTGACCTTAGACTCTGTCTGATGATTTTTGTTGACCTAAATATTGGTTTCACGTCGTATTTCTCTAAGATTCTCCCAGTCGGGTTTATAACATTTTCAACATAGGAAAGGAAAGGTTTTCCCTTGACCAGCCTAGCTGGGGTTACTCTGGCGTTCTCTCTTCTGGGTCGTATGGCCCGCTCGAATTCTTCTTTGCTGTACCTATTCCCCTCAAAAGCATTTCTCAGGTGAATGGGTTCCTCAGGAAGACTCTCTCAACCAACTTTTCAATAATCCCTCTCTTTTGTTGTGGCTGGTGGTTAGAGTGTTCAAGTACCTATCTGTGTGTGTTGGTTTCCTGTACACTGTGTGGTCCAATGTACAAGAAGAGTCCCTCGGGTTTCTCGTTCCATTGTTCTATAACGCAGTCAACAATATGGTTTCGCAGCGGCTTGTTCAGAAGCGTTCGAAATTCTACATGAAAAAGTTTGCAACCACCGGACTTGACCCATTGACCGGACTGCCCATTGTGATTCCATACGGAAGTAAGTTGGAAATAAGTTGATGATAAGAGGGCGTTTATTTGAAGGTGGATGACAATGTTTCGTGGTGCATTTCATTAGTTCGGATTCCATTGTCTAATATGATATTAAATCATTTGAAATCCCTAAAAGAATCTGTGATGTCAGAGAAGAGGAAATCTTCAAAAAGACTACGGTTGTTCCGTAGTGGTGGATTTTTACCACCTAAAACCTCTCCTCACTGAGCTCCAAGTACGGGGCCGCTTTCGCATTACTTCGGTACTTGAGCTGCTGTCTCACTATTAATGCTTTATATAACCATCTATGT